TATATAGGTATTGACTCCGGTGAGATGACACCTTATGGTAAGATGACATGTTTCAGTCAGATGACGCTGGAGCTCACCACTGATCACTGCAAAGCTCACCATTGATCACTGCAAAACTCACCACTGTCCACTGCAAAGCTCACCATGATTTTCCAACACTTTACTTTTTTTTTCAAAATTTGATGGTTAAATGCTTACAAAGCCCAGCAACAAAGCTCACTGACTCTCATTGCAAAGCTCACCGAATATGTGCACAAAGCTCACCACACTTTAAAGTTTAAAATGATTTCATAAAAAAACAAAGGGTGGTGGTGCTGACTTCCAACCGCTGTGGACCGGTAGTTGACCGGTGGTGCAATTTTATTACCTTTTTTTAAAAAAAGTGGTGAGCTTTGCATTGTTCCTTGGTGAGCTTTCCATTGACAGTTGGTGAGCTTTACACTTTGACCGCCCATGACGAATGGCCACCACCGATGACCCCCACTGTTGCCGTGGACCGGTGGTTGAGCGGTGTTTGACTGGTGGTTGAATGGAGGTACTATTTTTTAACTTTTTTTATTTAAAAAAAGTGGTGAGCTTTGCATTGACAGTTGGTGAGCTTTGCATTGGCAGTTGGTGAGCTTTGCATTGGCAGTTGGTGAGCTTTCCATTGGCAGTGTTGTGTGTTGTGTCATCTGATTGAAGCATGTCATCTTACCATAAAGTGTCATCTCACTCGAGTCAATCCCATATATATATATATATATATATATATATATATAGACACACACACACACATACATACATACATACATACATATATATATATATATAGGTTCTGGTGAGAATAAGATCTTAGGAGAGAGATAAGAATAGATCTGGGGCGTTGGATGGAATACGTTGGCCGTTTCTTTTGTTTCAATTATCGTGGGCATTCTTGTATTTTCCACTTTTCTGATTCTCTCTCTCTCTCTCGTTAGCGTCAATCGTTTCCGCAGGATCAGGGAGTTTCCATCTTATTCTCTTGTCTAATTCTTCCTTTTAATATCTACGATTTTCTTCAATCTTTTGTCATTAATAAAATTAATTTCTTTAATCTTTCCATTTTAATTGTTTAGATGGGAAATTTCATGAATTCTTTTACCTTCCTGGCTTAATTCTTGTTGGCGATGCAGATTGCAAGGTATGGATGAGGCGGAGCT